TGGTTTGGGCGACTTATTGTTACGTGGCACATTTTGTGAAAATCTCACTTCCTCTGGCACCACTTGATTTGTGCTAAAAATCATCAAAATCAAGCATATCTCGGCTGTTTACAGATGGATTCTGTTCAAACTTGGTATATACATTAGACATTATAGGACCTTGATGCACATTATTTTGCTTTGCAATCTAATTCAAGATGGCCGAATGGCGGCCATTTTTGTGCTAAAATACCAAAAAAATCAACCATTTCTCGGCTCTTTACGGATGGATTTTGTTTAAACTTGGTATATACATCAGACATTATAGGACCTGGATGCACATTATTTTGTTTTGCGGTCTAATTCAAGATGGCCGAATGGCGGCCAGTTTTGTGTTAAAATACACAAAAAATCAATCATTTCTCTGCTATTTACAGATGGATTTTGTGTGGGGTATAGGATCTTTTACCGAATCAGATAACAAGTCAGTTACTTCGAGTTGAAAAGCACGACTACTTTATTCCGTGATCTAAACACTACTGCCTCGTGTTCGCCTTGACTCACACATGTGACAAGTTTACAATCTGGCGGGCAATCTCAAGTTACATTAACGTAATAGGCTATAAATTATAGTGACGTAATGTAAGATAAAGAATATCATACGGTATCCCAAAATATGTTAAACACAGAAATCTGTTCAAGTCTTGTATTTTGCAGCGGGCTATAGCTGCTGCATTTCGCGTTGATCTTTGTAGAGTCGTGCCACGCTGTTTATGTGTTACGTCCATGTGAGTGTCATTATTGAGAACTTCGGTAGGCGTGATGTTTACATTCACTTCTAGTGGGTATAACTTAGTAACCGGGCGACTAGTAAGTCCGTTAGCGGTTCTAATATGTGCAGAACGAATTATACCATCATTTCCGCGATTGAGCTTGAGTACTGTAGCTAATTTCCAATTAACGTGTTTATCAGTGTCGTGATGCACAAGCACGACATCGCCAACTTTGATAACATTTTCCGTTTTTCCCGATATCTTCTGATTTTCGCGTAACGCGGTTAGGTATTCAGAGGCCCATCTTCGCCAGAATCGCGCGTGTAGTCTCGGCAGATAAGCGTATCTTTTGTTGAGATCGTTGTGATTACCGAAAGTTGGGTCGACGAGTTCATCTTCGTCGGCGGGAATATGGGGAAGCGACGTAAGTGGGCGGCCGTGTAACAAATGTGATGGAGATAGCGGCGCGTTATCTTCCAAGTCGGATGAAACGTATGTCAGTGGTCGGTCGTTCAGAACATTTTCTACTTCCGTTAATAATGTGCGTAGTTCGTCAAACGTTATGTAAGAGCGACCGAGGACCTTCTTGATTGCGTTCTTTGTAATTCCAATAAGTCGTTCCCAAAATCCCCCGAACCACGGTGTACGTTTGGGAATAAACTTCCATGTTGCACGTGTGTTTGTCAGATAGGTTTTAATCTCAGGCGAGTCGAACAGAATGCGCAACTCGTCGGCTGCGGATAAATTCGTAGATGCATTATCTGACACCATCGTGGTAGGCAATGATCGCCTTGCAGCAAATCGTCGAAAGGCGTTCAAGAAAGTTCGAGTAGTCAGATCAGGAACTAACTCTAAATGCACGGCACACGTAAATAGGCAATCGTAAGCTTTGGATTCTCTGTTGTTTGTAGGCGATTTTACATATAGGGCACCGGTGAAATCAACTCCCGTTATAGTGAATGGTGGAGTTATATTGACGCGAAACGACTGAAGTGCTGCTGTGGTCGGATTCGGATAGTTTTCCATTGGCTTTTCGGCAAGTAACACACGCGTGTAATAATCTCTTCACCGTTCTACGAATTTTCACAATCCAGAAACGTAGCCTTAAATGGGTGACAGTCGACTGTACTCCACCGTGAAGTACTTGAGAGTGTGCGTTTATTATAACGAGCTCAGTAAATCGTTGATGGGGTGCTAGAAGAATTGAAAAGCGAGTAGCATAGTCCAGAGGAGCATTATGCAATCTCCCACCACAATGCAGTATATTATCCTCATCTAGAAAGAGACCGAGCTGTCTACAAAGTGTACTCTTCCTTCTCCCGGACTTAAGCGTGTTTATATCGTCTTGATATACCTGCATTTAAATGTCCGTTATCCATTTATTTTCAGCGTGTTTTATTTCGCCCACGGAAATAGGTTCAATTTTTCGCGATTCACTCTTTCGTTTCAAATTTGAAATGAGCCGTATCACAAGAGCAGAAATACGTAGTAATTTAGTAAGCGTACTAAACCTTTCTGCGTCAATTACGTGATGTATTCCAAGTTTTCGGTCGATGGGTTTCGTTTTGGTAGCCGGAATTCGAAGTTTATCATGTCCGATTTCAGGGTCAGGGATTGCGGCGGCCACATGATACGCGGTACTATCAAATAATTTGCAGACAGGCCAATCACCGAGTTTTAATCAAGTCGGTCCAAGCCACCAAATGTCGGACTTCATCAAACTTTCAGCTGAAATGCCACGTGTGATAAGATCAGTGGGGTTTTCGTTAATCGGACAATACTTTACATCGCAAGGAAATTCATTAATTTCTTTAATTCGATTAGCAACAAATCTTGGCAACCTTTTCTCACTTCTTATCCAATGAATAACTATATGGATGTCAGACCATAAGACGTGTTTCGTGATGTTAATCTTATCCTTCAAAGCATGAGAGACGAATCGAATAAGCCTGGAACCTATTAATGCTGCCATACGTTCAAGGCGTGGTAGTTTCATTTCTTTGAGTGGCGCAACACGTGTCTTAGAAATAACTAACGAGGTCTGTCGATCTTGACGTAGATACACGGCAGCACCGTATGCTTTAGGACTAGCATCAACAAACACGTGGAGTTTGTGGACATCAGTAGACTTAGTGTGATCAGTGAAGTATTTCCTGTTTATCATAATGTCTGTACTGGCTACAACATCTGATATTATCTCCTCCCATTTTTTTGTTTGTATATCGGCAAGCGGTTCATCCCACTCAGGCTTTCCTACCAGAGATGTTGAATAAATATCTTAGCTTTTATGAGCACTGGTGTCAGGTATCCCAACGGGTCAAACAAACTTGAGACGACCTTAGTAACATAGCGTTTAGTGACTCTGTGGTCCGGATTATGTCCAGTGAGTTTCTTAATAGAAAATACATCGGAGTCAGTTTGCCAGCGAATACCGAGAATACCAAGGTTGGTGTTCATTTCTAGGGCGTTGTCTTTCTCAGCAAGTGCGCGTATTTCTTTACAGTTTGATGACCAAGAGCGTAGATTGAAACCAGATGATTTCATCAGAGCGTTAGCATCATGATAGTATTTCTCCGCTTCTGTTACGTTTTTAGTCCCAGAAACAACGTTATCTACGTAGATATTATCTTTCAAATCAGCGGAAGTAGGAGTCGTATTGTTGGCTTCTAAATGAATTTTCAATACCGCATTCAAAATAAATGGTGAACAAACTGCCCCGAAAAGTACCGATTTAAATTGAAACACCCGGAATGTACTTTCAGGGTTGGTAGGGTCCGTTAACCACAAGAATTTCGTGAATTAAGAAAGGCCTTCTCGATATCGCTGGAGATCGCAAAATCATTAATTCGGAACCGGAGCAGAATGGCTGTTAAACTGTTCAATAGCAGATGCCCAGTTTGTAGACAATAATTTAAGCTGGGATAATCGTTTGACTGTTTACAGCTACAGTCGTAAACTACACATATCGGCGTTGTAGGTGAATCCTTTTTTACCGGGTGATGAGGTAGATAATGACCACGATTAGCATCATCATCCACGACTTCTTCAATAAAATCACGTGCCAATTAATCGTTGATTATTTTGTCGTATGTTTGCAGTAAATCCGGTGTTAATCTACGTACCATGGAGCGAGTACGTTTATCACTAATTCGATAATTTGTTGGCAGTGGTGCGTGGTCCGATTTCCACGGGAGTCTGGCGATATATTTCCCATTCTCACTTCGTAAATGCGCATCACGGTACGATTCAAAATCATTTTCTTTAAGGCATTTCTCACTTGCGTCATCCTTAATACCGATTGTCTCCCGTTTCCATTCATTCTGAAGTTTTGTTTCTTCCTCTCGTGTAGTTGTAGCAATATGCAAAATAGTAGTATTGATATTTGAACTTTTCTTACCAGATGGTCCCGAAAGCAAATATCCAAACTTAGACCAAACAGCTGTAGGTCCCGGTCCCCTGATGACGTGGTCTTCGATAAAATCCCAATAATGATCAGCTCCAATTAACACAGACATTTGGAATGAATCAGCTTTGAAGACCGGGTGCGCCAGTTTTAGTCCACGTAAATGAGGCAAGTTTACGAGCGAGTGTGTTATCAGATTCGACAGAGGCACACATATTTCAGGAACTATAAGAGCACTAATGGTGCGAACTCCAAAGAGTGTTTGGATTTGAAAAGTTCCCACATCAAATGATCTAACATTCGAGTCAGTGTCTCCAAACGTTGCAAGTTGTATCATCTCTGAGGCGACGGGTTTCATATTCAGTTTCTCAGCGGTTTCCCGGTGACAAATGACCGGGTTGCGCCTTCATCAAATAGTATAGTCGCGTTTAATATGTCTGTATTCACGGAAATAGGTGCTACGGCAGTTTTTAATAAGACTGGCTCAGCGCGCGGAACATCTTTCGTTTTT